AGCCTGGGCAGAGCGTCCAGCACTTGCCACTTGCGGGCCAGGCCCTCCTGGCGTAAGCACCACAGCCACGCTCCTGATGCTGTGCAGGCTGCTCTAGCTAAGCCCCTCGGGTTCACTGGCTCATTCACTCATCTGTCTACCAGCACAGCCCCACAGTGGTGTGTTCCCTCAGTGTCTACCAACATGCCTGCTTTTGGCATTAACCTACCCAAGGTAACACAACTAGGAAGAGCAGAATCAGAATTTGGTATTTTCCTACATAGCTGAGAAGAGCGGATGCCACAACAGAAATAAGGGAACCATGCCAAGCTGGGCGGCACATGCCAGTAATCCCAACTACTCTGGAAGCTGAGGCAGGATGACTGCATGTTCGAAGCCAGCTTGGACTACATACCAACACCATAAGTAAAAACATGGGGGTACCCTGAAGTTGGGTTCTCCCTGAGTAAATGAAGGAAAAGAGGGAGCCTCAAGAAAGGGGAATGCCCTTGCTACCAGACATGATTTGAACATGCTCCCCAGGCTTCACATGTTGAACTTCGGCCCCACTGTGAGGTACCGGAGAGTGGAAACTTAGCTCAACTCTGGTCAGTAGGAGCCAGGCTTTGGAAGTGATTAGGAACAGAAAAGAGGACAGATGACACACTGACCCAGAGTGCACTCCCTGTCTCTTGCCATGTGACACTCTGGGCCACTCAGGACTCTGCTAGTAAGGCCACCACAAGACATGGACCCTGCCAGGTGTGGTGGCACATGCCTGTACTCCAGCATTCTGGAAGGCTGAGGCAGGAGGATCCCAAGTTCAAGCCCAGTCTGGGCAACTTAGAACTCAGTGAGACCCTGTCTCAAAAATAAATCAGTCAGGGGGCTGGGGATTTAGCTCAGTGGTTCTGACACCCGCCGTGAAAGCGCAAGGTCCTGAGTTCGATCCCTGGTACCAAAAAAAATCAATCAGGCCCAGTGATTTAGCTCAGTGGTGCCGCCGCATGCCTCGAAAGTGTAGGGTCCTGAGTTCGATCCCTGGTACCAAAAAAAATCAATCAGGCCCAGTGATTTAGCTCAGTGGTGCCGCCGCATGCCTCGAAAGTGTAGGGTCCTGAGTTCGATCCCTGGTACCAATAAATAAATAAATAAATAAGGGATGGGGATAGAGGTCAGTCCAAAGGCCCTGGGTTCCACCCCTAGTACCAAAAAAAAAAAAAAAAAGTGATCCCATACACCTCCAAAATGAGCCAAAATAAATCTTTTTTTTATAAAGTAGCCTGCCTCCAGTATTTCATCTCAGTGACCAAAAAGACTAATACAGCCCTTCTGACTTCAAAGTTAGGGTTCCCCTTCTAGCATACCCCACAGGCGGCATTTCAAGATGTGCAGGCACATTCCTGCCTTCCTCGAGGGACACACACAGTCACTGTGCTGTCTCACACTTGAGAGCGGAACCTACAGCTGACCAAGAAGCCACGGTTGAAGAGCAACAGGTCTGCAGCAGCCTCCTGCCTGGACTTGACTATCCCGGGAGCAGAGGGCCCAGGAAATCCTCCAAGCGCTTTTCCACAGAAGAAAATAGCTCGAGTTGGAACTTGTGTCCACATGGTCCACCGACAGATTTAGAACTCAAATTATAGCCTCGGCAGGAGTGTTCACAAAGGACTCAAATTAAACAAGACCCGGATGGAGGCGAGCAGGAAAGAGCCAGCCCCAAGAGAAACCAGAAAGTGAACTGTGCTCAAGCAAATTCGGGCCAGAACCTGTGGAGACGCTAACCAGACGGAGTTCAGCCTATGGCTCCCAACTCCATTTCGTGCCCTCTCCCCATGGTGTTCGCCTGAGACTGTGGACTCAAAGTGGTTACAAGTTACTCAGGTTTCCAACTGAGTTTGTTCCCCTGCTCTGGACCATCTTTCAATGCCAGCATTCATCTACTGGGGTTCCTGAGCCCTCTGCCTTTGGCAAAGCAGATAAAATTAGCTACTGGACTGAACTTGGAATCCAGCATGGTCGATTAAAAAAGTACAGAGGAAATTTGCAAAAGCCATGTAAAAACTTCCTCTGGGCCAGGCTGCAGGCATCCAAACCTTACAGAAATGTGGTCAAAGCTTCTGCCCCACGCCTCCTTCCCTCCCTGATGGATCTAAGATGGCCAGTTCCTGCTTTTCGCCCTGCCTTTCAAACCAGGGCCACAGACCAGGGATCCTCTGTTGACTGAGGGGGAACCAGAGGGCTCAGGGAGAGAATGCACCAGGAACACCGGAAGGAGCACTCTCTTCTCCTCTTTAGGGGGAAGGGAAGGTGAGTTACACTACAGAGGAGGACTGAGGACCAGCACAGGAAGTGGGTCGTCCACAGCAACAGTGTGACAACAGGGAGGCCAACTTTCAGTCCCATTCCTCGTGCCTGCACATTGGCCTGCGCTGGCTCTGGGACTCAAGCACGGAAGGACCCAGGTGGTTATCTAGCAACTCCCCCTGCTCCCCCATATCCAGCAGGGCCCCCAACTTACCCCCTACACACAAAATCCTCCAGGCCCAGGAAGCTGAGATAAAAGATCAGAGAAAAACTCCACTTTGGTAAGAAAGAAAACTGAGGATAGAGACATTTTTGGCCTCTCCCTGCACAACAGCAACAAGTGGGTGCCTTTTAGACAAACAAGGGAACCCTGATGTTGGGGGCTTTGAGGACAGAAGAAGAGAATCTTCCTTAGGAAATGAGTGTCAGTCTCAAAGAAGGGCAAATAAGGTGGATGTGGCAGCTCATGCCTGTGATCCAGGTACTCAGGGGGCCAAGGCAGGAGGATTGTGAATTCAAGGCTAACTAGTCTCAAAACATCAAAAAGGAGGGGATACCCTCGGGCACGGAGAGGGGAACCCCTGGAAATGCAGTGACCCCCTCAGACAGTAAAAGGATCTGCAATGTCTCCCATCAAGGAAAGGATCCCTTGGAAAAGCAGAGGCATTCTACAGATGTGTGGATCCAACAAAAGTAACACCCTTGCAGGGTGGTGGTGGGGGGACACCCTTGGAGAATCAAAAACACCTCAGGATGGGGCTGGGGATTTAGCTCAGTGGTTCCAGCGCCTGCCTCGAAAGCGAAAGGTCCCGAGTTTGATCCCTGGTACCAAAAAAACAAAAAACAAAAACAAAAACAAAAAAAACCCTCAGGAAATGGCAGCACCCATAGATTTGCAGGGGACTCATAAGAAACAGAAATATTTTAGCTGGGTTTGGTGGTACCTATCTGTAACCCCAGGACTCTGAAAGGCAGAGGCAGGAGAATCGTGACTTGGAGTTCAGCCTAAGCAACCTAACAACAGATTCTGTTTTGAAATAAAAGATAAAAACTCTATTAAAAAGCTGAAGGGCCGGGAATTTAGCTCAGTGGTTTCGCTGCCTGCTGTGCAAGCACAAGGACCCGAGTTCGATCCCCGGTACCAAAAAAAAAAACAACAAAAACTGAAGATCTGGCCAGGGATTTAGCTCTGGTTCTGCCGCCTGCCTTGAAAGCACAAGGTACCGAGTTCGATCCCCAGTATCAAGAAAAGAAAGAAAGAAAAAAAAAAAAAGTTGAAGATCAGTGTGAGGGCCATGGGTTCAATCCCCAGGCCTGAAAAAAAAAAAACTGAAAAAGTGGGGTTATATCTCAGAGAAATAAGAACCTAATTTTCAGACATATGTGTCGGAGTAGGGGTGGGGTCTCAGAAAAGTGAAGGCAGTCATCAAAAAGTAGGGGTACCAGGGCCGGGGACTTAGCTCAGTGGTTCTGCTTCCTGCCTTGCAAGTGCAAGGTCCTGAGTTTGATTCCCGGTACCGGAAAAAAAAAAAAAAAGTAGGGGTCCCATCAGACTGGGGAGAGCTCAGAAAAGGGGGAGATCCTCCAAAAAGGATTCTGAAAAAGCAGGAGCACTGCACATTAAGTAGTGAACTTGGGAGGAGAAAGCCAATTAAACAAGCAGAGACAGAAAAGCATGGAGAGCACTGGAGAACCCATCAGAAAAGGGGGACCCCAGCTGGGATCTCATCAGTGAGGGACCCCTGGAGAAGAAGGATGGTCTCCAAGAGGTCAGACTCCCCCAGAACCAGGAGGTGAGGGGAATCCCCTCAGAAAGCAGTACCATCTCCTGAGAGAAGTGGGCCCCCTCTTCGAAGCAAGAGATCCCAGAGAGGCAGGGGGGCCCCAAAAGGTGAGGGAACCCCTCAGACAAAAAATGCCCTCTCAGCCAGGCCTGGCATTCCAGCTATTCAGGAGGCTGAGGCAGGAGGATCTCAAGTTCAAGCCCAGCCTGGGCAACTTAGTGAAACCTTGTCTGAAAATAAAAATTTAAAAGGGGCTGGGGATATAGCTCTATCCAAAGGCCCTGGGTTCAATCCCCAGTATCAAAACCTAAAAAATAAGTTTTTAAAAATAAATAAAGGGTCCTCTCATCAGAGCAGGAATATCCTTGAAGAAATGAGGAAGGATTTCAGAGAGAGGGACTCCCAGAAAAGGGGACTGGGTCCCTCAGAGACACAGGAAGTCCCTCAGAGGTAAGCTGGCCCACAGAAAGGCAGGAGTGCCTCAGAAATGGGGAACTCCCTTGGTGCACGCTTGTGATTCCAGCACCCGGGGAGGCTGAAGCAGGAGGGTTGAAAGTCTGAGCCCCAACTGGGCAACCTAGCCAGACCCTGTCGCACAATAAAAAGTTTAAAAAAACAAAAGCCTGAGAATGCAATGCGGGACCTGGGTTCCAACCCCAGTACTGCAATCGATCGATCAATCAATAAAGTTAAAAACCCGCAAAAAGAAAGAGGGAACACCCCTCAGACACACAGGAGGTCTCTCAGAGATGGGGTTCTCCTCAGAAAGGGGGCGTCTCTCAGAGAAGTGAAGGAAAGGGGTTGCTTCCCTCAGGGCGGGGCCCCTCCCACGCAGGTCCCCTCGGAGACCCGGGACGCGGATGGACGGCGGAAGCCCCGGGCGCCGGGCACCGGAAGCGCGGACCCGCGCGGCGCCGGCCCCTCACTCACCAAGTTGCGCGGCGTCCCCGTCGCCGTCCCCGGGGCCCTGGGACTGTCGTGGCGGCTCCCTCAGGTGGCGCCCGCGGCGGCGGCGGCGGCGGCGACAGGACGACCAACGACCGACCGACCGACGACGCGGGCGGCAGGGGTGCGCGTGCGCGCGTCGGGGCGCTGACCCCGGGCGGGAGGAGCTGCCGCGCGGCGCTAGGAGCCACCGCTCGGTCTCGCGGCTCCTTCTCACACTGAAATTGCCCGCTTCACAGCCCGGCTTCCCCGGTTGCTAGGCAGATTTCGCCTCTCACACTTCCGGGTTGAGGCGCGTCTCACCGAGTGGCGGCACGGAAGGCCAATAAGGACCAGCTGGGGAGCCCAGAATCCGCACCCCCCGGGGGGCGGAGCCAGTGTTCTGACAGACAGCGCATGATGACCAATGAGCGCACGGGCCGGCTGGCCCTCGGGATCGCGCCGATGGCTGGGGCGGGCCCAAGGGGGGGACGGCCATAATGACTGACATGAGGCTTGCCAATGGGAGACCGGAGCGGGCTGCAGGACCAGTCAGAGGCCTGAGGAGGCGGGATTTAGGCTTCGGGGCGGGAATGCTATGAGGGTGGGGCCTGTGGGACTCATCAGTTCGTGGCCGGCTCCCTTGGACCCCGAGGACGTTTCTCCAGGGCCGCCCTGCGACTGGCTGGGCAGGGGGTTCCCCGCAGTGCGCAGCAGGGGCGCCCCACCCACAATGCACCGGAGCAGCCTGGCTGGCGGGCGTGGCGGCCGGAGGCGCCTTCGAGAGAGGAGTACGGCAAGGGCAGCCAGGCCTGGCTCCTGAGGGCGGCCGCGACCTTCTTCGAGGGGACCTTACGCTTGCACCTGGCCCGGACTGCGAAAACGTCGGGGGTCCTGGTGAAGTAGGGGACCCTTGCCGGGCTCGCGCTCCTGAGACAAAAATCAGTCACCAGGATGAGGGACGGTTTTGCAAAGTTAGAACTCTGGGCCCCTGCTCTCCCCATCACGGAGAATCGGGGGATTCAAACGTCACGGAACTATTTGGGGAGCATCCTCTGCCACTTGGAGCACTACTCGGGACCCACGGTCATGGCCCTGCCATGCCTCGGGACCCCAGCAGCATCTCTCTTGTTTGTTTTGTTAATTTTGAGTGTTTTGTTTTGTTTTGTTTGAAACAGGGTCTCTATGTACTCCAGGCTGGCCTCGAACTCACAGCGATCCTCCTGCCTCAGCCTCCCAAATGCTGGGATTGCAGGCCACAACACCCAGCTCAGGACCCCATCGTTTGTGAAGATCGTGTTTTCTACCCCACCTCAAGAGGAGAAATTAGGGGCTTCAAACCCCCTGGCTTCTTCAGAGAATTGTAGGAATCAGTGCCCTCTCAGTGATGTTTGTTTGTTTGTTTGTTTAAAACAGTCTGGGTTGGGGGATGTAGCTCAAGGGCACAGTGCCTGCGTGGCAATCAAGAGGTCCTGAGTTCAATCCCCGGCATCAAAAAACCAAACAAACAAAAAACAGAGTCTTACTGTGTAGCTCAAGCTGGCCTCTAAATCACAGCGCTCCTCCTACCTCAGCCTCCAGAGCACTGAGATTACAGGCCTGTCTGCTCCTTCACCCCATTGCTAAAGAAATGCTTGGGAGATGTGCTCCCCACCCCCAACTGGTTCATCTACTAGCACTGTAGGGAGTTATTCCTCGTTTTTTGGAAAAAGCTACCAACACAGCCCTTCCTGCTAACTTCTGCTACCTATTTTATTTTGAGGTTTTTGTTTGTTTCTTTGGTTTACTTTGTTTTGTGGTACTGAGGATTGAACCCAGGGCTTTCACACTGAGCTACACCCCAGTTCTTTTTCGGTAGTGCACACCCATAATCCCAGCACTCAGGAGGCTGAGGCAGGAGGATTGCTTTGAGTTTGAGACCAGCCTAAACTACACAGGGACAAGACCCTGTCTCAATAAGTTATGAATTAATTTTACTTTGAGACAGGGTATCCCTAAATTGCCCAGACTGGCCTCCATCACCCTAACCTCCTGCCTCAGCCTCCTCAGGAGCTGAGCCACCAAGCCCTCCTCCCCCATGTTTTATTAGTTTGTGGAATGGGGGGTAATTTCCCTCTGCAATTGTGTGCTCTTCACTCTGTGTTTGTGTGTGGTACTGGGGACTGAATCCAGGGCTTTCACACTGGGCTACATCCCCAGCCCTTTTTTTTTCTTTTTTTTTCTTGAGGCAGGGTCTGCTAACTTGCTGAATGGCCCAGGCTGGGGTTGAATTTGTGATCCTCCGACCTCAGCCTCCCTCCCTGCAGAGGTTAGAGGCATGCATCACCGCGTGAGGTTTAGTCCCCTTGAAATTCTCATTCTCTCCCTGATGTGGGCCCACTGCAGTCTCTCCACCTGCTGGGCAGAGGCTTTCCCAGAGCATCTTTGCTTCCACCAGTGACTGACCTGGTGAATCTCAGCCTGCACCTCTGCTGGCCTGAGGCTGCACCCTGCAGGCATGCAGCACCCCCTGGTCTTTCCCCCGTGGGTCCTCAGAACCTTGTCTGATCTCTTCCCCCAAGGACCCAGCTTTGTCCTTAGCAGGCAACAAATGTACAAGGAATCAAGGAATGGAAAAGGCAGCGATGAGGGACCCTCTGCCAGGCATGGTGCTGCGCACCTGTAATCCCAGCACTCAGGAGGCTGAGCCAGGAGGATCCAGGGTAACCTGGACAATTTACTCTTTCTGTTTTATGGTGGTTTGTTGTGTTTTGTTTTGAAATAGACTCATTGTATAGTTCAGGCTGCCCTTGAACTCACTACCTTGGCCTCAAATTCATAATTCACAGCAATCCTCCTGCCTCAGCCTCCCGAGTGCTGGGATCACAGGCCTTCACCACCATACCCTGCCCAAAACTACATCTTTCTCTTGGGCACACCATGGGAGGTGCTCCAGTCCACAGGTCTAATAGAGTCCCCAAACTCCAGAGCAAAGGATGAGGGGGGCTTTGACCCTCAAGACCACCAAGACAGCTTGGTCCAAGCACCTTGGAAATGCAGCAAGCTTACTCTGGGTCACATGGTTTCCAGACTGACCCTGGGAATGCCAGGACCTGTGATTACATGTCACCTTTTTATATCAAGAGTATACCGAGAATATCTTTGATTTTTTTCTGGGAAAAGGCCACCTGGGGCCAGAGAGGTCAGTGAGATGAAAGGATATCTGTGTAGTCTGGAAGCCCAAGCATAAACAGGAACCCCATGGGCGGCAGGAGCAGTGATAGAGCACAGGCTTAACATGCATAAGGCCCTGAGTTCAATTCCCAGCACCATAAAAAAAATTAAAAAATTTTAAAAATAGCCAGGTGTGGTGGCACACACCTGTAATCCCAGCACTTGGGAGGCTGAGGCAGGAGGACAAAAGGAGTTAGAAGCTAGACTACACTACATAGTGAGTTCAGGACCAGCCTGAACTACATAGCAAGATCCTGTCTCCAAAAATAACAAGAAAGGGAGGCTGACGCAGGAGGATCAGAAATTCAAGGCCAAGCTGGGGAATTTAGCAAGGCCTTGTCCCAAAATTAAAAATAAAAGGAACTGGGGATTTACCTCAATGGTAGAGCAATTACCTGGCATCCATAGGTCCAAAGTTCGGTCCAAAGTTTATTCCAAAATACAACCTCCATTCCCCCCAAAAATCCTACTAGAGCTGGGTATGGTGGCACACGCCTATAATCCCAGCACTCTGAAGGCTGAGGCAGGAGGATCCTGTGAGTTTGAGGCCAGCCTGGACTACAAAAAGAAACCATGTCTCAAAAAATATATATTTTTTTTTGTTTGACTGGAAAACCTCATATGCTTAAAGAATCCAAAGCGAATGGACGTTGTCAGAGGGAGGAGGATGCCCCGCCAAAATGATAACGTGTCCAGCTCTGCCCGGGCACACCCAGAAAGCTAGCGCCAGAGCTCTCTGCAAAGGCCCAGGTTCAGCCCCCACCACCCGGGGAGCACGGGGGCGGGGCTGAGAGGGGCACGTGACCCCACCGCGGGATGTGCCCTCCTCCGCGGTGGCTCGGCGATTACATCTTTGCGCCCAGGCGTGTCCTTCCCAGCCTGGGAAACCATGCAGCGGAACTGGCCAAGTGGCATTCACGTCCAGTCGGGACGTGACCCTTCCACTCTGCGCCGGCCAGGGAGGTGGAGCCTCAGCGCTAGCTGCAAAGCAAGGGTCAGACTGATCCCAGCCTGGACGCCTCCTGCCCCGCCGCTTCAAAGCTCCCTTGAAAGAGCCAGGCATGGTGGCACATGCCTGGGATCCCAGCACAGGGGAGGCTGACGCAGGAGGATCGCTTCGAGGCCAGCCTGAGCTGTACAGCGAGACCCTGTTTCAAAAAACTAAACAAAAACAAAACACAAACAACAAAAAGAGACTTCCTTGGATCAAGGAAGCAGCACGTACTGGCATTGAAAAACGCTGTCACCTGCTAAAATTAACGGGCAGCGTCCTGCGTGTGGATTTGCCAGCGCATTGAGGCTCATGCAGGTGAACTGCTCATGTGCTGAAAGCTACCCTCGAGCTTTGTTGGGTCCACTGAAATCGCCCTCGGTTCCCCGGGGAAATGTCAGCGTCTTTCCACAGATAAATAGACAGAGCCAAACCAACAAGTTGATCTAGGTAACTCTGCTGCTTCCCCAGAGAAAGGCAGTATCAGGTGTGGGAAGCAGAGAATACCTTTCTTTCTTTCTTTCTTTCTTTCTTCCTCTCTCTCTCTCTCTCTCTTTCTTTCTCTTTGAGACAAAGTCTTACTATGTATAAGCCTGACCTCGAACTCAAATTAGCAGTGATCCTCCTGCCTCAGCCTCCCAAAGTGCTGGGATGACAAGTATGCACCACCATGCCTGACAGAGTATAGCTTTATTGATGTTGGTTGGATAAAGCTTGGCATAGAACCTAGAGGGAGATGGGAAGCCTTCCAGCCATGCTTTTCTGGGTCTCTAGTCCAGAACCTAAGGAAGGGTCTGGGCTCGGTGATAGAGCACTGCCCAGGGTGTGCCAGGCCCTGACTCGGAGCCAGTGTACAAAACCAAAATTGAAGAAAGGAGTAAAGCCTACCCAGTTTTGATTGACAAAACTAAGTGATCAGGCCGGGTGTGGTGGCACATGCCTGTAATCCCAGCACTCAGGAGGCTGAGGCAGGAGGATCGCTGTGAGTTCGAGGCCAGCCTAGGCTACATAGTGAGTTCAGGGCCAGCCTGAACTACAAAGGGAGAGACCCTGCCTCAAAAAACAAAGCAAAACAAAACAACCCAAGTGATGAGGAGGATCCAGCCCAGCGTGGGCAACTTAGCAACTTAGTGAAACTGATCAAGTAAAAAATTAAATAAAATTAGCCGAGCATGGTGGCCCATGCCTGTAGTCCCAGCACTGGGGAGACTGAGACAGCAGGGTCACCGTGAGTTCGAGGCCATCCTGAACTACTTAGTGAGAGCCTGACATGTAACTCAGTGCAAAGGCCCTAGGTTCAGTCCCTAGTACCATGAAAAAAAAAAAAGAAAGAAAGGAAAAAAGAGAGAGAAAGGTCATACTATGTTGCTGTGTTATCTTAGCTGGCCTTGAATTCCTGGAGTAAGCAATCCTCCTGCTTCAGCCTCCCAAGTAGCTGGGACCATGGGTGACTGCCACCACACCTGACTCTTTCAAAGTTTCCTTTACTGTCATTCTCTGAGCTCAGAGTTACTTGCTAACTGCCATGATTCATCTTGCCTGGTTTGCTTTTTGTTCATTTTGTTTTGCTTTGAGTCAGTTCAGTCTACCCTTGACCTTGCTATGTAACCCAGGCAGGCCTCAAACTGGAGATCCTCTTGCCTCAGCCTCCTGAGCGCTGGGATTACAAGTATGCATGCTCCACCTTGTCTGGCTTCACTGCCCTTTTGAACTTGCTAAAAACAAAACAAAAAAAAAATGACAAAACCCCAGCAGAACAAGCAGTGTGGGGACCCAGCAGTTGCACCGGTGCCTGGGGGAGAATTTGCCATCCTTAGGAGCACTGGGTACTCACAGGCTGGTCCTGTGGGTCGAACGGGTGCCACAGAGGGACATTTCCTTCTCAGGGCTGGCCCGTGGCCGCCCACTCAAGCTTTGGGCTGGGCTACAGGAAGCAGCCTTTGGCTCTGACCCAGGCAGACCAGCCTCGTCCTTCCTGCCCTGTGGTCTCTGACACACCCTCTACTCCCCAAAGCTCTGGGTTTTTTCTTTTTTATTGAGACAGGATTGGCTGTGTTGCACAGGCTGGCCTTGAACTCACTGTGATCCTCCTGGCTCAGCCTCCCTAGTGCTCCTGCCCTTCCCCTGGATTGTTTTTGTTTGTTTGTTTGTTTGGTACTGGCGATGGAACTCAGGACCTT